TTTTCTGAATGCAGAACATTGCATAGAAAAACTAAAGATAATTCGAGGTTTGGGATAGTGTTATCCTCTTTAGAGAGGTTTACTTTTGCTTCTGGCAGTCAGGGTAGAAACATCGCCTCTTGATTTAACAATACTCTGAATGTGATTCACTCTTAATGATAGATGGTCTACTTCTTACTTACCACACTATTCCTAGGTTGTAGTCCTTTGGGATTCACAAATGAAAGTCAGAAATGTTTGCCAAAATCCCTTCTCATCCTACTTGAGCCCTCAGCTCCAATTTCTGTGTCTCCTTTTCTGTGCAACTACCAAAACCCTTGCTCAACTGGTTGACCTGTCTGTCTCTACTTTCAAATTATCAAAGGAAAAAGTAGCAGTGAATCTTTCCAGAGCATCTGTCTTTCCATGAAGAAACCCTTCAAGACCCTGATGCCTCAATTGCTCTGTGATACCTTCAAACAGATTTCTTTAAAAAAAATTCTTTCTTTTCTTGTTATTAGCAGGAGTTGGTCTAAATCACCATTGCTGAAAGCAGAAATTCTGATGAAAATTTTTAAATCAAATCTCAGACATTATATAATTTAATGCATGTTTCAGTTTATATCTCTGAAAAATTTGATGTTTTCTTATACCTACAATACCATTTTATGTTCATATTTTTTGATTATTTCAGAAATGTCTTTTTGTTTGAGTTAAAATATACAATATACAACATTGTTATAGTATACAAGGTCTATTTACTACATATGGTTATTAAGTCTCTTAAGTCTCTTTTAATCAAAATTGTTCTCTTTGCCCAGCATCTTTTTCTTTTTATGCCATTGACTTATAGAAGATCCTAGGTCTATTCTTCCCTAGCACCCACCACCCCCTTATTATGAATTAGCATCCGCATATCAGAGAAAACATTCAGCATTTGGTTTTTTGGGCTTGCTTATTTTACTTAGCATGATATTCTCCGACTTCATCCATTTATTGGCAAATGCGATAATTTCATTTTTACTTTATATTAGGTAGAGGAGAGTGAAGGGAGGGAACGAGATATGGGATAGGAAGGATAGTAAAATGAAACAGACATTATTACCTTATGTACATACATAACTGCATGACTGATGTGATTCTACAACATGTACAATCAGAAAAATGATATTATACCTCATCTACATATGATATATATCAAAGTGCATAAATGCATTCTATTGTCATATATAGCTAATTAGCACAAATGAAAAAATATAAAGTAAAAAAATGCATTTGTACTGAAAAAAAATACATTTGTATTGAAAAAAGGTTAAAGTTCTGTAGAATTTCCCATTGTTGGCAGCAGCTGACTGCTTTTACTTGTTCCTCTGTTATTTATCCTGAAGTGAAATTTGATTTTATGGACTTGATTAGATGAGTTTGGGTTTGTAGATTTGGTTTGGTTTGGTTTGGTTTTGACATTGGATGCTTTGTAGATAGTATGCAAAATAATTCCTATTTCCTCACATCACTGGCACTTCATGTTTGGTTGTTCCATTTTAGTGATGCTAAATTGGTTGGCGGGTTCATAGATAACAACCTAATCCCACCACTGTGAAATTCTCCATGCTTTCATCCAGTGGTTTTCATCTAGTGATGCATTTTCCATGGGTCAGTTATTTTTTCAGGAGATGAAGATGATGATTTTTCTAATTCCATTGCCATTACATATTTATACACTAAAACTCATGTAACTAGAGTTCTTTGGTTACTCTGAAATACAACTTAAACAGGCAGGTTAAGCTTTCCTTTTAGGTTTAGTAATGTGTTGATATCAGATTTTTTAAAATAGTCCTGAATACTAAATACCAAAAGCTGCTACCTGTAATGAAACAATGTGATTAGTTGTTATATCATATGAAAATCTCACCAGGATCAACAGAGGCCTTGCCATCAGGTATTCTTTCTCTACATCTTTTTGAGATATTTAAGTTCTCTGATTCTCCACCTCTTTGTATAATAAGACAGCAAGACCTTCATGCCCATAAGTCAAGGTTAAAGCTAGTACATGTGCTTCCTTGGAATCTCTGCTTGTTTAAACTCTTTCCCTTTATGCACTTATTCACCTCAGAAGCACCTAAGGAAATTTGTTCATGCGATTGCTATCATTGTTAACAACTGAAGAAGTAGAATGACTTGCAAAATAATTTTGTTATTATCAATTTGGGGTGTGTGTGTGTGTGTGTGTGTGTGTGTGTGCATGCACATGTGAACATTTCTGTTTCTGAATCTTGGAGCCAACTCTGGCTCCACTGTACCCCAGCAGGTCCCAAGGTCCTATTGAATCAGCCCTATAACTTGTTTTTTTTTTCTTTTCTCATTGCCACTAAACTTCTTTGAGTCCCTTTGCTCCTAGGCTCTCTTTTCCAATTTTGTTTCCTATGAAATATCCCTCTTTAGTGCCTCATCTGCAAAGGGAGACCAAACTTCCCGGCTCTGCATGGGTGCCTCTGCACAGCCTGGCCTCCAGTGTACCCACTCCTCAGGTTCCTCTTCTGGTCAGACCAGTGTGCTCACTCCCCCTTTGCGTTCAGTCTCCCAAACCGTCATCAGAGCAGCCCGTCCCTTATTCCCCACAGGGTTGAGCCAGGATCCTCTTACCTCCTCTGGTCCAAACCAGCTCATTCCTGCTGCTCCCCAGAACCTGGAATTTCACAGGTACCTTCCCTTCACCTTCTCACCGAAATTCCTATGTAGTTCCTTCTGTGGTTCAGCTCTCAGCCTGGCCTCAGTTCCTAACAGTCCTGGGGTTAAGATTACTTGTGGGCCCTCCTCTCTCCTTATCACTGTCATACACAGCAAAGTTGATTTTAAAAAAACCCGCACCCTAGGTGGGAATTTCCCCCAGCAGGATGAGCTTTGCCAGTGTTCCTTGGGTGCTAATTCAGCAAATAATCATGATTCTTACTCCATATGTCAGCTGGGTGGCCTCCAGAAACAAAGCAGGCCCCAAATGACACCCCTGCTGGGGCTGTGAGACTGATCCAGGAATACTCATGTAGAAGACTCTGCTACCCATCCTCTCCAGATGAAACTCTACTTCATTTTTTAATATCTTTCAGTGACCGAGGCAGGTACCTGTCATGGCATAATTATGCACCACTTTCTCTGTCATCACAGGACTGAAGATTTTCTTTCCTTCTGCTAACTGATGTGACAGACACCCACTTAGTGGAGAGATTATTAGTATAAAATTACTCTTTGGCCCTTAAATTTAATTATGCCACATTCATAGCAATAAAATAAAATCCTGAATCCAGGTGTGCTTTTCAAGGAAAGTGTCCGGGGCAATTACCTTCTGATAATGGCGTCCTGGGCTTAAGCCTTTTGTCTGGGGTTCTTAAAATCTTTTCCATACAAGTAGATAATGATGTTCATTCTGTAAGGGGTGAGAGGTGAAGTGATTGACCTCGTAGTATTCTCAAGAGATGAAGAAAAATCCAGGACCCAGGTGTCTCCTTTGTTTTCCCCCTTCCCTCTGCCTTTTCAGCTCTTTAAAAAGAGGCCTGGCCAACCTTCTATTGATTTAAATACTTTCTTCCCCAGTCGTGCTTTCCACTCTTCTAAGAGCAGGGATGAAAAAAGTTTCTGTATCACATTTCATGGGAAGAGTTGAGGTTCAGGGAGAGAGAGTGATTTGCACGATACATATTACACAGTAGCTGAAGTGTGGGGTTCACGGGCTCATAAATGAAGAGCAGGGGGAACGGTGCCTGAAACAGGCAGGCCCTGAGTGGGTGGTGACTCCTAGGATTGTCTTATGGACATCTAGAGCAGGTACCTTCTGTCTCTGGGGAAGCAACATTTGGCATGTGCCCTTGTGTTTTCAACAGTTGAGATGTATTTCCTCCCTGCACAGCCAAGCATTTCTGAATCCTTAAGAGCTAGTTTAGGGCCTGTTCCCTCCTCCATGAAGCCTTCCCCAGTCCACCCAATCAGCAGGCATCTCCCTCTTCATAAACTCTAGTATCAGTTCAACAAACGTGAACTGAATATCTAGCATATGCTAAGTACCACCTGAGTTAGGGACAAAAGAAAGCTCTAGCCTATAGTATCATTTTAAAACTTGTTTGAATGTCTTGTCTTTTGTCTGATAAAATTATTTGAGGGAAAAGCACATCAGTACACAGTGTGTTGTCCCCCGCCCCCATCATTCCGAATATACAGCAGGAGCTGAGTATTCTCTTGGGGGATGTGGGAGCCAGAAAAGACTGAACTGTTGAATCCAATATGGTACATTCTTATTGAATTGAATTGAAATAATATGGGGTCTTCATGGGGTCTGGAACATAGCCCTAAGTCCTCATTCTTTGTTCTACCACAGCACCCTATTCTGTTCTGTTGAATGCGAAAGAGGTCAAGTATGTGTTGAGTTCCTTCTACATGCACATCATGGAGAAGGGTGCCTCAGTCAAAGGCACTGTAGTACAGTGTGATGACAAGCTAAATATACAAGTGCTGTAAATAGTGGGGACCACGATGGACTCTACAATGAGATTCTTTCAAAGGTCTTTTCAGATTAAAGGGGAGGTGTGGTAGCATTTACTTGGGAAATCATGAAAAGTTTTATTCATTTATTCAACAAATGTATATTGAAAACCAATATTCTGTTCCAGGCTTCGATAGTCCTGGAGCTTAATGGAAAAGGATGGAGGACAGAATTAGTAACTAGTTTCCTGCCTTTTGCCCAACTATAAATACAGAGGTCCATATTTTTGTTTCTCTTCTCCAGTGTCTTGTAGGGAGGCATTCTAGTCCTGCCCTGACTTTCTCTGATGCTGACGGCATTCTGGGATGCTGAAGAGGGCAGTGTGTGAAATCCCCCTGGTACTACATTCTCCTGGATTACCAAGCTAATTTCCTTTTAGTAGCTCATTAACATTCACAGCCAGTGTTTGCTCCCACTTTCAGTCTCCTGATGAAATGCTGACTGTGAAGGTGAGAGCTACTGATGCTGTTTGCCTTTTGGTTTCTTCCAGGATTTTTTTCCCAGGAAGCCACCCCGTCAGAGGTGTGCAAGTAATGAAAGTCGGCAAACTGCAGTTGCATCAAGGCATGTTTCCGCAAGCAATGAAGAACCTGAGACTGGTGAGTGCACCAAGATCTTGGGGAGTTCTGCCTGGTACACCTCTTTCTGGCTGTCACTGGGCCTTTTCTTGGTAATTTTTTTTTGTAACAACTCTATTTTTAGCACTATGTAATGTGCATGCACACACATACCCAAGGTATGCTGGTAAATATTTAACAACCAGCTCTAAAAAGAAAGGAAAAACAGATCTGTGACATTCTCCAGTTTCTGTGGTATAAATGTACCCCATGTGATTGATTTTAAATTACCCACATGAATCAGCCTGCTCCCAAAGCTCATGACAGTTCTAGTAATCACTCTTGTAAACGGGTGCAAACCAGCCAGAGTATCCCTCTGCACATGTACCCCACCCCACCATGAACAAGCACCCTTCTCTCTGCTGTACACAGTGCATCTCCTTGCATGGCAGGGAAGACGCTTGCCTTTGGAGGCCGCCCCCCGCCCCCCCACACCAGACACACACAGTCACACTGTACTCTCACCATCGCCTACTCTGACCTGCCAACTCCTGGGTCTTTACAAAGCTCTATTCTCTGCCTTAAATTCCCTCCCTACACCCTCCTCCCTGGACCTAGCAGAGCTCTACTGATCCTTTAAGGCTCAGCTCCAATGTCATTTTCTTCTTTATAACCACAAATCTTTGCTCACTCAGCCTGTGGAGAACACTTCCCATATTGTTGTAAGCATACCTGGAGATACACCTTCCCATCCCCAGGAGCCTGCAAGGTCCCTGTGGTTGTCTTTGTAACTAGTTCAGTGCCATGTATGATACCCAGAACCTAAGAAGTATTCATTGTTGGGGAAGAAGGGAAGGAGAGAGGAAGGTCGGTCAATATGATCTTAGCAATAAGTGCTGAGAAACTAAATGGGAGAACTGGGTCTGTGTTCAAACACCTTGTTGGAGAGAGACACTTATTTTCACCCTCTTAGGGAATCTCCTTTGCCTAGAGGTGCCCTGGGCTCCTTGTCGTCCTGGCCTTTCCTCTCCTGCAGAATCACCTCTATCCCAACCCATGGCCCTCCAAACAAAGAGCTCATGTGCTCAGCTGGTAGGTACTAGGAAGACCTGGCATACAGGGTTTCACAGGGAACATTGACACTTAATGGGGTCCTCTGGACCACAGTGCCCTTGTCTGCAGAAAGCTGTGATAGAAGAATCAGAGGCCTGCATTAGGAATGCTCAGAGAGTATCCAGGGGCTGCCTTAGCCCATAACATGGGCAATTTTAGATGAGAAAAATGACAAATACCTAAGGGATTCTTAAAAATAAGATTCCCGAGACAAACTGCTGTGACTCAGCACTAAACAATCCCGCTGAAACAACTGGTCGGCCCTTCTGAACCTGCGGAGGTTAATACCAACCGAGCCTTCATAGGCAGTGGCCACAGGATTGAGATGGGGCTTGGGAGAGCCAGTCAGGACCCACCCGTTGCATCAGTCACCCGGCAAAGGGAACGAACTGTCGCCATTTGTATGGGAAACCACCATGGCAGAGAACTGACGTCACCAGAATGTGGCGGAGAAGATAACTTCATTGAAACTGGTGGCAGCAGTGACTTCTTCCCTTCCCTTCTAATACCTTTCCTCCCAAGCATCAAATAAATTTATAGGAGTAAACAGTAACTCAGCAGTCAAACAGAACAAGAAGTACCATGAGCAGCAGCATGAAAAAGCAAGGAAGAAAAGGAGTACAAACAATGCAGGACAGCCTAAATATTCAGGAGGACCTAGAGGCATCAGAAAAATGGTCAAATAAAGAACTCAAGGAATACCTTAGACAGATGGAGTGGAACCTTAAAGAGGATATGAGACAGCAAATTCAAACAGTGAAAGAACACATTGAAAGTGAATTACATAAACAGATAAAAGAAGCAAATAAGCATCTTTATCAGGAGATAGATTATAAAAAAATCAAACAATAATTCTAGAAATGAAGGAAACTATAAACCAAATTAAAAACTCAAATGAGAGTATCACTAACAGAGTGGAGCAAGTAGAAGCCAGAACGTCAGATAATGAAGACAAAATATATCATCTTGAAAAGAGTCTAGCCAACTCAGAAAGGCTGGTAAAAAATCATGAGAAAAACATCCAAGAGATATGGGATAACATAAAAAAACCAATCTTAAGAGTCATCGGGATAGAGGAAGGTATAGAGGTTCAAACCAAGGGAATGAGCAATATGCTGAATGAAATAATTGTAGAAAACGTTCCAGAAATAAAAAGGAAACGAACATACAAATTGTAGATGCATACAGGACACCGAGCATACAAAATCACAGTAGACCAACGCCAAGACACATTGTTATGAAGATATCCAACATACAGAACAAAGAGAAAATTTTAAAAGCTACAAGAGAAAGGAGGCAGATTACATTCAGGGGTAAACCAATAAGGGTAACAACGAATTTTTCATCACAGACGTTGAAAGCGAGAAGATCCTGGAACAACGTATTTCAAACACTGAAAGACAATGGATGCCAACCAAGAATTTTGTATCCAGCAAAATTAAGCTTCAGGTACAACAAAGAAATAAAAATCTTTCATGATAAACAAAAGTTACAAGAATTTGCAGCCAGAAAACCAGCATTGCAAAGCATCTTGAGCGAAACACCACACAAGGAAGAAATGAAAAACAATAACCCAAACCAACAGTGGGAAGTGCCTCAGTAAAGACAGAGGGCGGGGGAAAAGCTAATCATGGAGAAACAAACTAAATTTAAAAAAAAAAGATAAATAATCAAACATGGCTGGAAGTACAAATCATATATCAGTAGTAACTCTAAACGTTAATGGCTTAAACTCTCCAATAAAGCTATATAGGCTGGTAACATGGATTGAAAAAGTAAATCCAACAATATGCTGCCTCCAGGAGACACATCTGATTGGAAAAGACATACACAGGCTGAAGGTGAAAGGTTGGGAAAAAATATACCACGCACACGGTCCTCGTAAGCAAGCAGGGGTGGCCATCCTCATATCGAATAAAATCGACTTCAAGACTAAGTTAATCAAAAGGGATAAGGAAGGACATTGTATACTGTTAAAAGGAACCATTCACCAACAAGACATAACAATTATCAATATTTATGCACCAAATAATGGTGCTGTGACGTTCATAAAACAAACTCTCCTCAAGTTCAAGAATCAAATAGACCACAACACAATAATTATGGGTGACTTCAACACACCTCTCTCACCATTGGACAGATCCTCCAAACAAAAGTTGAATAAAGAAACTATAGAATTCAATATCACAATCAATAACCTAGACTTAACTGACATATATAGAATATATCAACCATCATCAAGTGGATATACTTTTTTCTCAGCAGCACATGGATCCTTCTCAAAAATAGACCATATATTATGCCATAGGTCAACCCTCAGTAAATATAAAGGGGTGGACATAATACCATGCATTTTATCTGATCATAATGGAATGAAACTGGAAATCAATGATCAAAGAAGGAAGGAAAAATCCTACATCACATGGAAAATAAACAATATGTTACTGAATGATCAATGGGTTAAGAAAACATAAAGGAGGAAATCAAAAAATTCTCAGAGATAAATGAAAATACAGACACAACATATGGGAATCTATGGGACACAATGAAAGCAGTTTTAAGAGGGAAATTCATCACCTGGAGGTCATTCCTCAAAAAAAGAAAAAACCAACAAATAAATGAGGTCACACTTCATCTCAAAGCCCTAGAAAAGGAAGAGCAAAACAACAGCAAATGTAGCAGAAGGCAAGAAATAATTAAAATCAGAGCGGAAATCAACGAAATTGAAACAAAAGAAACTATTGAAAAAATTGACAAAACTAAAAGTTGGTTCTTCGAAAAAATAAATAAGATCGACAGACCCATAGCCATACTAACGAAGAGAAGAAGAGAGAGAACTCAAATTACTAACATACGGGATGAAAAAGGCAACATCACAACAGATACTACAGAAATACAGAAGATAATTAGGAATTATTTTGAAAACCTATATTCCAATAAAATAGAAGATAGTGAAGACATCGATAAATTTCTTAAGTCATATGATTTGCCCAGACTGAGTCAGGAGGATACACACAATTTGAAGAGACCAATATCAACGGATGAAATAGAAGAAGCAATCAAAAGACTCCAAACCAAGAAAAGCCCAGGACCGGATGGGTATACAGTGGAGTTTTACAAAACCTTTAAAGAAGAATTAATACCAATACTTTTCAAGTTATTTCAGGAAATAGAAAAAGAGGGAGCTCTTCCAAATTCATTCTATGAGGCCAACATCACCCTGATTCCTAAACCAGACAAAGACACCTCAAAGAAAGAAAACTACAGACCAATATCTCTAATGAACCTAGATGCAAAAATCCTCAATAAAATTCTGGCGAATCGGATACAAAAACACATCAAAAAAATTGTGCACCATGATCAAGTAGGATTCATCCCTGGGATGCAAGGATGGTTCAATATACAGAAATCAATAAATGTTATTCACCACATCAATAGACTCAAAGATAAGAACCATATGATCATCTCGATAGATGCAGAAAAAGCATTCGACAAAGTACAGCATCCCTTTATGTTCAAAACATTAGAAAAATTAGGGATAACAGGAACTTACCTCAACATTGTAAAAGCTATCTATGCTAAGCCTCAGGCTAGCATCATTCTGAATGGAGAAAAATTTAAGGCATTCCCTCTAAAATCTGGAACAAGACAGGGATGCCCTCTATCACCACTTCTATTCAATATAGTTCTCGAAACACTGGCCAGAGCAATTAGACAGACGAAAGAAATTAAAGGCATAAAAATAGGAAAAGAAGAACTTAAATTATCACTATTTTCAGATGACATGATTCTATACCTAGAAGACCCAAAAGGGTCTACAAAGAAACTACTAGAACTAATAAATGAATTCAGCAAAGTGGCAGGATATAAAATCAACACGCATAAATCAAAGGCATTTCTGTATATCAGCAACAAAACTTCTGAAACAG